CCTAGCTATCAGATATCTTGCTAAATCCTAGCAAACAAGAAACATGATCGACAAGCCCACTACGAAAGATGGCTGGTTTGCTGGACGAAACATTTGTTTGCCCATTCAGAAGTTGCATCAAGCTAGAACAAAGTTGCCTTAAGTTTGTACTGTAGGAACAAGAAAATTGAGCGAGTGACTTCCCTCTTTCTCTGAGATATGAAAGGAACCCGGAGGATTTACATTCCTCATTTCAAAATTCAGGGACATGGAATAAAGAAATACAGCGGAACAAGGAATCGATGTATCAACATTGAGCACAACTGTGAAGAGCCCTGAGGTCTTCACATTGATTTCCTTTATCTCTTTATCGGGATTCCAGATTCACTTTCTCTTGACCACCCTCTGAATCAACCTTCTTTTCAATTAGCAAAAGGTATTGTTCAAGATCCGTCCCTAGCAGGCTAAAAAACCATGAACTTTAGACATTAGAGGCATATGATGACTGTCAACATTCATTTCACAGAATGGCCACAGTGCTGATGACAGTGTTTCTCAACCTGGGGGTCAGGACCCCTGGGGGGTCGGGAGGGGGTGTCAGAGGGGTTGCCAAAGACCATCAGAAAACATAGTATTTTCTGTTGGTCATGGATGTTCTGTGTAGAACGTTTGGTCCAATTCTATCGTTGGTTGGGTTCAGAACGCTCTTTGATTGTAGGTGAACTATAAATCTCAGCAACTACAAGTCTATTTTCCCAAAACTCCCCCAATGTTCATATTTGGGCAAATTAAGTATTTGTGCCAAGTTTGGGCCAGATCTACAATTGTTGGAGTCCACAGTGCTCTCTGGATGTAGGTGAACTACAACTTCAAAACTCAAGTCAAGGCCCACCAGACCCTTCCAGTATTTTCTGTTGGACTTCTGTGGGAGTTCTATGTGCCAAGTTTGGTTCAATTCCATTGTTGGTGGAATTTAGAATGCTCTTTGACTGTAGATTAACTATAAATCCCAGAAACTGCAACTCCCAAATGACAAAATCACACACCCCCAACCTCACCAGTATTCTAATTTGGGCGTACTGGGTTTTCGTGCCAAATTTGGTCCAGTGAATGAAAATGCCCCCTGCATATCAGATACTTACTTTATGATTCATAACAGTAGCAAGTTTACAATTATGAAGTAATAACAAAAATAATGTTATGGTTGGGGGTCACCACAACATAAGGAACTGCATTAAGGGGTCGTGGCATAAGAAAGGTTGAGAAACACTAGCTTATGAGAAGCTAAAGACAGAACACAAATGCAATAATCCCCAGGAAAATTAAGAGGACATAACTGAAGTTGGCTCTTATGTCTTCCCTCAAATGGAGCATTATTTTGCAATGCTCTCTTTCTATATATATTTTGCAGCTGCAAAAGCTGCTCTGGTCCAACATGAGCAAGATTTCGCCTTTTGAAATGATATACATGGAAAACAAGCATGCAATGGGCAGGAATAGCAGCCAAAGCAGCCAGATACAGTCCCTGTATTAAGCTGACAGAAATGGGGAATCCAATCTGCGGCTATCCCGAAGACTTGCCCAACATCTGTGCTTTGAGCTACGGCTGTTATTCCTCCCAAGTTTTATTACTTCAATCACTCTCTCCATCAGGAATGTGTGTTACACCTGGGCATGTTCTTTAGCAACATGACTCGCATGAATTCGGAGTGACACCTTACACTGGAAGCAGGGTTTGGGATGCCTCATGCACGGGAAACATAGGGAACATTACAATTCTAATTGGTCCTTCAGGAACTTAAAATAGAAGCTTAAGAAAAAACATCTGCCTGGAGGTAAGAGAAAACAAACCCACTCCCAACATCTGCAGGACTGTTAAGACCAGGATTTGATCATTTGAGGCAGTCGAACATCTTTTGTATGTAGTTTCCAGCAATTTTAGATTTGCAAAGTCAAGAACCCATTGCACAGACACCACTTTCTGACACTTTAAGGGAAACCGACGCATCGGTTGTGATGGAATCCTTGGTCTGGACTGTTGTTGTTCATTCGTTCAGTCGTCTCCGACTCTTCGTGACCTCATGAACCAGCCTACGCCAGAGCTCCCTGTCGGCCGTTACCACCCCCAGCTCCCTCAAGGTCAGTCCAGTCACTTCAAGGATGCCATCCATCCATCTTGCCCTTGGTCGGCCCCTCTTCCTTTTGCCTTCCACTTTCCCCAGCATAATTGTCTTCTCTAGGCTTTCCTGTCTCCTCATGATGTGGCCAAAGTACTTCAACTTTGTCTGGACTACAGCTACGCAAATATTGGACTCATGGGGCACCCGTCACAATGAGAGAGAAAGCTGGCCTCAGATTTCCTCCTGGGAAAGTCAGAATGAAATTCCAAACTGATTTGCCATGGGACTAATGCATTTGCCAGAAAGTCAGAGCAATTGTGGGAGACAACCAGCACATTGGTCCATTAAGGGAGGATTAATCTGCAAGTCTGAATTCTATGAAACACTTGGGAAGGTTGCACAGAGCAATATAGAGGATGGATGGATTGATGGGTGAGTGGGTGTGTGTGTGGATGGATGGATGGGTGGATCAATGGATGGATGGATGGATGAGTGGGTGAGTAGATAGATAGACCCCTCCCCAATGGGAATTTAAATCTATATACATTATATATTGTTGCTGCTGTGTGCCTTCCAGTCATTTCTGATTATGTCAACCTATCATGGGGTTGTCTTGGCACACTTTGCTCAGAGGCTGAGAGTGTGTGACTTGTTCAGTGACTTCCATGAACAAAAAGATATTTGAACCCTGAAGCATCTGAAGTATCCCAGTTCAATTGTCAAACTACTACACTATGTTGGCTCTCTATTTTTCATCTCTCTCAACCATCCAAGAATACAGTGTCTTTATTTGATTTACATCCTGCTTTTCTTCCAGTGTCTGCTATTTATCTATCTATCTATCTATCTATCTATCTATCTATCTATCTATCTATCTATCTATCTGATTTATACCCTGCCTTGTCAGAAATGTTGAAAATTAACTAGGTATTTTTAATTACAAAAATTTGAGTCAAGCACTGAAAGGGTTAAATTGATGCAATGACTCAGCAAAAGCTGCAGTTCAATATAAGCAGGTGTGCCTGTAGCTTAGCAGCCATCAGTCTGAGGTAAACCTCAGTGGGAGAAAAAGTCTCAGTCTGTGAGAGAAGCCTCTGTGTGAGATAGGTCTTAGTCTGTGAGAAGGCCTCAGAGTATGAGAAAGCCTGGTTGAAGAAGCTTCGGTAAGAGGAAGCTCTAGGTTGAAGGCCTCATGTGTAAAGCTCCAGTATAAAGACTGCTGTGTGTAAAAAGCTACTGTGTGAAGCTCCAGTATAAGTTCGTTGTGAGAAGAGGCTCTGTGAGAGCAAACCTGTTTATCTGCATAAGAAAAAAGCCCAGTATGGAAGCAATGAAGGAAGTATAAAGAACTTTATTTGTGTTATAGAAACCTTGTTCTTGTAAATAGTCTAACCATATTATTTTACTACAAAGAAAAGCCCCCTATGGAAGAGATAATACTAGTCTCTCTGTTTTTGCCCTTTTTATCACTTTGGGCTCCTGGTGCTGGATCATGCTGCTGCTGCTAATTTACTCTGCTGTACATTTATGAGGAGAGTCTTTTCTTAAGAAGTCCACTCACCCAACATGGCTTTCCCCCGAATCCCATGATGGGATTCAAGGCAGTTGACAATAATGTAAAACAAGATAAAAATAAAATCTTATTTTAGAAAGATTGGAAAATAACAAAACAATGTTGTTTTAAAACTGGTTTAAAAACAATTAAAACATACTTACCAACAAAGGATTTAAAAATATTGTGCACCACACAAGCACAACTACGACTCTATCATTGAATTCCATAATAAAAATATCTTTGCCATCAGCACTTAAAACAAGGTAGAAGACTGATAGGATTTATGGTGAACCAAAGCAGCCTGGGAGGGGGGTTATGTGACTTATTTCCCCCAACTCTGGTTTAATATAAATCCACTTATAGCACAAGATACAAGCTCCTAAGAGCAGGTGGGAAGTTGAGGTCCATGACGTTACCTTCTATTGCAGGCGTGTGTTGGGGTTCAGCCTGGGTGTGAACCTGAAACTGATTCTCTGATTGTATTTCCTGATGCTACCGAAAATGTATTTCCTGATGCTACTGAAAATGTATTTCCTGATGCTAATGAAAATGTTGATTCTGAGGTCAGTGTAGAAGAAACTCCTGCAGGTTTGGAAAGTGAAAGTACACATTCTCATGAGAATGTTTCACTCCCTTCTAGCTCTCCAGAGAAGCTAACACCTGGGATCCTTAATGAGGATAGAAGAGGACAGATTTGCATCGCAGAGTTTGCGAAGGTCAGCCAGATTGAAAGAAAAAGAAACAAGGGCTTCAAAGCCTGGAGGCGTGTCACGAAACAGATTCCTCGGCTTTAAGTGCCTCTCGCCGGGTTGACTCTTTAGATCAGGCATCGTTTTAGACTGAGGCATTACTTTGGCAGATCTCCCGTTTCCCGTGGCCTTCATCCCAAGAGGCTTCTAGTGCTCCAAATACGGTTAGTAGATTGCTAACAGGTTCCAGGATTTTACAGTGTTGCTTTGGGTTTTTGATCTAGTTCATGGACATTTCTGATTGCTGATTTTTACTGTGGCTTTTTGACTTTGCATTTTCCTCTATTTTGTAACCATTTTTCATCAATAAAAAAGGATTGTTTTTCCTACAGTCAAGTGTGGTGGATTGTTACCTTAGGGTCTTGTTTCCGGCTCTGGGTTGCAATAGCGTGAGCCAACTTTGGCCCTCCAGGTGTTTTGGGCTTCAACTCCCACAATTCCTAACAGCTGGTAGGAATTATGGGAGTTGAAGCCCAAAACACCTGGAGGGCTGAAGTTGGTCCATTCATGTTCTATTGCCTTGGTTCTGCTATGTTTGATGTTCCACCCTTTGGTGGAAAGAGCATTCATAGAAGTTATAATTTCATGATTACTCACAACGGATGCCGTAAATCATAAGTGGATCTAGTTGCTTCTTCCCATGCTTCCCCTGCCCGGAAAGATTGGAAATGGCCTGGATTTCCCGGTGAAAGAGGTAATCAAGGAGTGTCAGGGCCATCTTCTCCGCTGTACGGCAGTTGGTGCTGATGTGGAGCATGTCGGCTGCCGTGATGGGACATCGCACCCGCATCTCAGGGTTGTTCTCATCTCCGAGCCATGTCCCACTGGGATAATCCTCTGCAAGAGACAAAAAAGGCATTTTACATCCCGTGCACTTATTTTCTAATCTGGAGAACATTTTGATCATTCGTATACCTTCCCAGGACTTCTCCTCTGATATTTTTCTGAGACTCTATTAAAATACAAATAATTAACAGCATCTGTATGTATTCTTCTACTTAATATGTTTGTTAACCTTTCCCCAGAATTCTGGATCCCTAAACAGCAATCAACATAAATCAAGAATTTTAATAATTAGAAAATTAATGAAACAAGATTCTATTTTTATGAGGAAGAAGCTTAAGGTAAAGAAGGAAATGGCAGACATCAGGAAAACTTCCTATTAAAAATGCCTTGAAAATAACTGAAAACTATTACTCGTTATCTCAAATAAATTAATTTCACTCTTTGTTGTTCTGTCACCTTTATAAAGTAACTTCATAAAAGCCTTGCTTCCCAAAAGGTAACTGGTTAGTAGGCATGTTTGCAAATTTTGTTCCTACCGTTTCTTTCATGTCTTCTGTTTATTTGGAAGCACAAAATGAGAAGCCCCCTCCCCACACGAAAATTTGCTCGACATGAAAGTCTGTCTACAGCCTGCTTTCATATGTAGTAGTAGTAGTAGTAATAATAATAATAATAATAATAATAATAATAATAATAGTAACACTTTATTTGTACCCTGCTACCATCTCCCCAAGGGACTCGGTGCGGCTTACATGAGGCCGAGCCCAAACACAACAATACAAGCAATAATCACAACAATACAAGCAATTAAAATAAAAACATAGATAATAAACATATAACATTATCAATAAGACAACATACAATTAAAACTGCGGGAAGGCCAAATGTAAAATTAAAATTGGAAATAGTGCTGAAGCATGGATGAGAAGGTGATAGTGGTGTTTGTGGAAAGACATACGAGCAGACCTAAAAATGTAAAGTGCTTTAGAGGGACAAAGTGCTATGGGATCACTATTCCAGGAAGGCACACTGGAACTTGCCTCCTCACCTTGGAAAGACAGTGTGTGTGTGTAGCGGCGCATGCAGGCAGGCAAGCCCAGAGCTCGGCTGCAGGCACACTCCGGGCCTGCCTGCAAGACCCGCCATACACAAACTCTCGGAGAGTGCAACAGGGCAAGCCGGCAGCTGAGCACTTCTTACTCTAGAGTAAGAGGCACTTGACTGTAGGTACTGGCAGGTGCTTTCCAGGCTTGCCTGCACACTCTGTCACACGCACTCTCAGAGAATGTGGCGCGCCAAGAAGGCAGGCCCAGAGTAAGAGGGACTCAGTTGCAGCTACTGGCTGCAGGCACACTAAGGGCCTGCCTGCACGGCCCACCACACACAAACTCTCAGAGGGTGCGGCAGGGCGAGTCTGCAGCTGAGCATCTCTTACTCTAGAGTAAGATGCACTCAGCTGCAGGTACTAGCAGGCGTGCGCGCTTTCGGCCCCAACAGACACACACTCTCTGAGAGTGTGGCATGCCGTGCTGGCAGGCCTGGAGCACTTCTGCGTGTCTGCCAGTGCCTACAGCTGAGTGTCCCTTACTCTGTAGTAGAAACAGTAGGTGCCAGGTAAGAAGAACACACACTGGGAAGGGGAGCCAGTGAGTGGGAAGACCTCCACCCATAACGGTCCCATTTTTGGGCCCGAAACAAAAGAACAAAAACAACCCTCTCAATTTTGGGAGGCTTACAAAAAACAGATCGGGACCCCCAACAAAAGTCGGGACACAAAATGGGACAAGATTTTCCCCGAATGCATATGTCTACTGGTTACAGATAAGATTGCTTGTAAGTTAATATCCCCAAGCTCTAGCTACAAGAAAGGACCAGAGCAATACAGTCAAATTATCCATCTCCGAAACACATGTATGGCCTCTAATTCTTTGTAGCTTAAAGGCAACTAGAAGATTTCCCCTATTGCTTTTGATACAAACCATGGTCTCCTGTGGCACTGGTTTGTTTAATGTATGGTTAGTGACAACAAATCTACAGGCAGAATTACATTTGCTTTCAACTTTGTTTGGCATGTGTATCGTTTCTCAGCATTTGGGGATCCAGAATACAAAAGAAAGGAAATAGAAGTACATTTATTTTCAATTTGTGATTAGAAGTTTCTCTTTTCAAACTGTTCTTCAATTGATTTGTTGATCTGCTGCACATCAGAAAGAAATCTGACTTGGTTTTTGACTTCTTTATTGCACTGAAGAAAGTGGAGATAAGCAGAGCTTGGGAATGCTCAAGAATAGCTTGCAATAAAATAAAATAAAATAAAATGTGGGTATCGCCTTAGTCAAAAAACGCAAAGGAATGAGTCTCAACAGTCATGGAAGCAGGGCTGTTGATTCAGCAAGAGCTGGGAACAACTTGGAAAGAGCAGCCCCTAAGTAATAGAGAGCGGCAAGTTACTCGATTAATTGCTTACTATGTTTATTAAGGGAATGTGCTCAGCAAAAGCCGCAGTTCCCAAATGGAAATGGGTTTCCGCTTTTCTTCAGACTGACTGAAGGAGAGTCTGTGTCACTTCCGAAATATGTCATTTACCACATTGGCAGATCCAACGCTGGAAATGAATCATCGCACTGCATCTCCCATTGGGCTGAAGTCACCATAAGGAGCAAGATGCATATTTGATTCCATTGGTACCTAATGCTTTTACAGTGCCTACTATTGCAAGGCAGTTCACAGATTAAGATTAGAGCAGTGGCTGTTAGGAGTATAGTATGTAGATCCAGGGAAGTCATGCTACCCCTCTATACTGCCTTGGTTAGACCACATCTGGAATACTGTGTCCAATTCTGGGCACCACAATTGAAGGGAGATGTTGACAAGTTGGAATGTGTCCAGAGGAGGGTGACTAAAATGATCAAGGGTCTGGAGAACAAGAGCTGGGATTGTCTAGCCTTCAGAAGAGAAGGCTGAGAGGAGACATGATGGCCATGTATAAATATGTGAGGGGAAGTCACAGGGAGGAGGGAGCAAGCTTGTTTTCTGCTGCCCTGGAGACTAGGACGCAATGGAACAATGGCTTCAAACTACAGGAAAGGAAATTCCACCTGAATATAAGGAAGGACTTCCTGACTGTGAGAGCTGTTCAGCAGTGGAACTCTCTGCCCTGGAGTGTGGTAGAGGCTCCTTCTTTGGAGGCTTTGAAGCAGAGGCTGGATGGGCCCCAAAACAAAACAAAACAGTCCATCCAGGACTGTGGCACAGCTGGCTGGGAGTCAGCTGCATCAAGATCACCACTGACTGAAAGGTCATGAGTTCAAAGCCAGCCCGGGTTGGAGTGAGCTCCCAACCAAAATTGTGTAGCTTGTTAACCTTTGCAGCCCAAAAGACAGTTGCATCTGTCAAGTAGGAAATTTAGGTACCACTTATGTGGGGAGGCTAATTTAACTGATTTATGAGGCCACAAAAATCTCCAGGAAGTATGCAAAGAATGAGGAAGTGACAGCTCCCCCGGTGGTCAGAAGCTGGAATGTTAAATAGCCTCTGAGTGTCTGTCTATATATGTTGTGTGTCTATGGCAATGAATGTTTGCCATGTATTTGTACACTGTAATCCACCCTGAGTCCCCTCCGGGGTGAGAAGGGCGGAATAGAAATACTGTAAATAAATAAATGGCCATCTGTCGGGGTGCTTTGAATGCGATTTTTTTGCTTCTTGGCAGAATAGGGTTGTACTGGATGGCCCACAAAGTCTCTTCCAACTCTATGATTCTATGATTCTAAGTCCTATTAGTTAGTTACTCTGAATCAGAGCAGACCCATTGAGTCAATTACTGAATCCCAAATGAATAGTAAATACCATTGATTCAGCCGCTTTACTGTAGTTGGAAACAGTACCTCAACTTTCAAAGAGGAAAATTTGAACCTACCACCAGTTTCAATAGGTTCCTAGGTGGAGGCCATGTATATTTGGAGGGAACTCTTCTTCTTGGCCAACTAAATGGGATTCCCAAACAAGACTAATGCCTCTGAGGTGAACAAAGGCTCCCAAGCCTGTCTGCCTGTCTATCTAAGAGATCCGCAGCTTCACCTACCCGCATTTGACAAAATATGTTATCTCTATGAATTTTCTAGGTTCTCCAGGCAATTCTATGATATGTTTCCACCAGAAGGCAATGAGAGTGAGAGTTTCCATTGATGGACATTGACTGCAGCAGCTTAATGTCTCCTTTGAAATAGCAGTTGCGTAGAAAGAGAGATACCTGGAAAGGGCGATTGCTTTCATACCCTGCCAGTGGACCTCTAGGAAACATCTGCTTCAAGTTCTGCTCTACTTCCCCAGCAGATGCAAGCCGCTCATTTGATTCTTTTTCCACAGGTCTTTCCTTCAAAGGCTTCAAAGCCATGCAGAGTTCAGACGGGGAGCTTCTCTAAGCCGGATGGATTTCCATGACCTCCGAAGCTGCATGCTCTGTATTTCCTGCCATCGGAGCTGGCTAAATGGCCCGCGTTCCATGAGATAAGACGCCAAGAAGCAAAAGCAATAAAAAGCTTAGCCCAAAAGGCCAGCTCCGGTGCTCAGGATCACTTGTCGAACACCTCATCAGAGCCGCGCTGACGTAACCGTCGCGGGCTTAACTTAGGTGAACTGTGATAACACGAGACACTAAATTGAAAAGAGCTTCTCAAGTTATCCAGGAGATATTTTTACAGAAATTGCTTTTGGGAAGGAGAAATGCATCTGTCTCCATGCAAACATTTGTAGCCAGCAAAGCGGGGATGCTGCGCTCATCTTCTTGTCTGTCTAAGAACTAAGCGATCCAATCATGTCAATTCCCCATCTGATCATTAGACTAGCTGTTAAGTCTACCTTGCAGAGTCTTTAGAAATAAAAGCAACTTATTTTATTTTTATATCCCTATTTCCATTACATTTCACTCTGAAAACAATTCAAAGCCTGAAGAACGGATGGCTGGATTCCATATCATTGTTTTCCTCGGTTTGGTCGCATTTCAAATGATGCGGATTCCCTTTTTAAAAACAATTGGCACTTTCACTTGA